CCAACACATACACAGATTGGTAGCTCGTCGTATAAAACCCATGGCTGCTCACAACCCTTTTCCATCATCGAGAATGCCGTGTCCCTTCTCTCTTCGAACCCACCCCCGGCACAACATTCGTCTCCCACAAGTCTTGTACAGCATTTGCTTCCCGAGATTTCAGCGAAGCCGGCAACCTGGTAGAGCATGTAGCAACCTAGAAGTTGAACTCTGGAGGGCGATGGTCTTGCCGCATAGTTTGTCGGCCAACACGGGGAGTCTGCTGACGCAGTTGTAGCAGTCGGAGTTGGTGAGATCTCCACGGCATTGAAGAGGCCGGTTAATGCGTTTTGGCCGGAACCAGAGGTGGTTTTGTAGAACTTGGTTTTGGTCGATTGGGAGACAGAGAGCCGAATAGGGAGGAAAGGGCCCTGAGAGTAAACCCCATTTGGATCTGTGAATGTTTCCTTGGAACAACCTTTGTAGACTAAGGTCGTGTAATCGGAAGAAGCTCTGGACTTCTGGAGATGGGATTGGAAGCAAACCAGGAGGAAATAAGGGAAAAGAGTCCTTTTCTAGGAAAACCCTTTGGGTAAGAATGGGAAATGGAGGGATCAAATCATGGCAAATTCGGAGAGGTCTTGTGATTCCTGAGCCTCTGATAAAGGGGAAGAAAGAATCGATGTTCCTCTTTCTTTTTACCGAATGAGGATACACCCAAAGAATGAAAAAAAGGAAGGATTTGGGTATGCGCTCTCTCCTCTCTTGTGTGTGTGTGTGTGAGAGAGAGAGAGAGAGAGAGTAAGTGTATGTTCTGGAGCTGTGGTCCTTGGGATTCAGTTTCCTTTGGATGGCCTAATATCCCAACTCCACCCTCTAAACTTCTGGGAAGATCCATCATTTTCATCTGGATAGAAATGTAAAAACAGAAGGCGGGAATTAAGAAGTAGTAATTTTTGGGAATGGTTAGTTGAAGAGAATGAAAAACAAGGAGGGGTGAATTAATAGGCGGGGAAAATATTCGCCGGCGTACGAGAAGGTTTTTGGAGGGCAATGAGAAGGGAAGGAATCTGAGTGTGTCGAAAAGAACAAGAAGACGTTTGACTGCAAAGGAGTAAATTATCGGAATGCTTGGCCCAGGAATTTGAATTTCATCCAACTACGAAGGCCTCACAATCACATTTGACCTCTTGATGACTTGTTGCATTTAATTGGTCGGAATCCTGGTCTATTCTCTAGTTTAAGAATTTCATGAAGGCATTAAGGCAAAATCAGAAAGACATACTGCTTTTAACGCCGTGGACCCTTACATCTTCATTAGAATTAGGATACTATTATTAATGCTTGCTCCTTCCTCCCATGAAATCACATCTCAATTCTCAACAGCTGCGTGAGCCTCTTAAGCTCTCTGTGTCACTGTCTTCGGTCTTGTATATAAATTTCATTTAGAAAAAAAAATCTGATTCAAAATATAAGTTTTATTTTAATTTATCTAAACATTTATTATTATTTTTTCCTATTTTGTTCTTAGTTGACTATATTTAATACTTTCTCTATCTCATTAATATTATCCTTATATATTCTTTTTCATCGTTTTTCTTATTTATTATATCTCTCGTGTACTCTATTAATAAGTAAGAGCAAATTGGAGAAAAAAAAAGATATATTTCTGACTTATTTATTATTTTTAACTAATTTTAATTGCTAATTCGTTAATCGTAATTCAGTTATTTGAAACTTATATATAAGACTGGATGGAGTACTATACTCATCTTTTTATAAGTTTTAAATGACTAATCTGCATATAATAAAAAATTAGTTAAAATTAATAATAAATAATAAATAATTTTAAAATATACTTTTATTTTTAAATAAATTCCTATCATAATATGAAAGTATAATAATAGTATAGGAGGGGAGAGGACAATATTAATGGTGAAGGCAGCAGAGGATAGTAATTGCTAATTAGACTGACACAAAAGAGTAGACAAAGTCATTAGCACAGTACTGGTTTGAGAAGGTCTGCTTTCCGCATCCCTTCCGTTTGTCTCGTAGCTAATGAGGGTACGTCGAATCAATTCATTTGATATTGTCTTTAAAAAAAAAAAATCAATCATTTGATCTGAGTATAATACAAGATCTTTAAATAAATAAATACTGCTAAATACAGGGTTTGATGTGTATATATAGATCGATTCACATCACACAGCATGTGGCAAAAGATGTGAACACAGAAATTGAAATGTGTCTGAGGGGCATCATGAATCATGATGCTAATGAATTGGATAAACTATTAAATGAAACCAAACAGTGTGATGAATGTTGTGAAAATGAATAAAGATAATGGCTTTTCTGCAATCTTGCTTTTCTGTACGCCGCAGATAATGACTTGATAGCCAAGATCCAGCAGGACATGTGTCTTGTTCCTTTGCATTCCAATTATTTCCCCTTTTATATTTGTTCATGAGTTGTTCACTTCCAACTTGTTGCAATGAATCCTGTGTATGTATATATTTGAATGTACGCTCCTTTTATATTTTAAACATTTTTTCGCTGTTAGATTAGAGTGGTGGTTATCTTATCATGCAATAGCTTCTTGGAATCTCTCCATGACTTTTAGTCGCTTTTTTTCCCCTCTATTTTGTAATTTTGTTTTAAAGCATTGTTATTGATTGCATACAAGGAAAATTTTTTAATGAATCAGTGGCTATAATGTAGATAATTGGAAGCAACAATTTGTGAAAATCAACATATAATTGTTATTAATAACTAGATAATTAATTTAGCTTTTCTTTGTTAGTCGCCATAAAATAAACTCTATTGATATACTCTTTTGATCGAAGGTGACCTTATTTAAGATATTATCAATTACTCCTCCAGTTTTTTATATAGGATCTAATTGTTAAGTTGAATCTGATTCTTAAATATAAGATCTATTTTTCATATTTATCAGTTTTTTCTAAATTACTCCTATGAATACTATACTCCTTCAACCATAATCAAATAGAAAAAAAAGAGAATATTAAAAAAGATGATTATGGTGTTTTTTAAAAAAACATGTCATGTTTTTTTTATAATTAACTAACTTATCTAATTTTTTTAATCTAATCAATTAGTTAAATAAATTTTCTATTAAAGACAAGAAGAGTATTAAATATAAATATTCCTTTCAACAAGAATCTGATCCTTACCCCTTGCCAAGACGAAAGTATTGAGAACAATAACAGTTATGTTCAGGCATTTAATGGGCCTGAACTCATTCTTTTATTTTTGTATTTTAACCCAAAATCCTGTAATTAATTTTTTTAAAAAAAAACAAAAGAAGTGAGAGCTGGGTCCTCAAGTCGCATGTTGGGCTTGAGGAGATGTTGGAGAATGGAGCGAACATGTTACGCGCCTTTTTTTTGGACGCAAATTACGCGCTTCTTTTCGTAAAGAGTGAACAAGTAAATCCGCTGATGTGACTTAGGTTCCTCCCCCCCCACCCCAAAAAAAAAAAAAAGGAAAACCACTTCTTTGTGTTCCTCCATTTAATTTTTAATGCTATATAAAATTACTGAATTAATTTAAGTATATTAAAAATTAAATAATTTAGTTAATTATAATAAATCTAAAGTGGTCTCCATAAAATAACACTATAAATATTATATTATATATATTAATAGGCTAAGTAAATTAATTTTAAAAAAGATATATATAACAAAATATATTGATATTTTATATTTTATATTTTATCATCAAATCTAACTGTCAACAAATTCTTATATTAAAAGTTGAAGGGAAATATAATATCTCGAAGAAAATATTGGAGGGGATATTTAGTTTTGAGGCCGTAATCCAAATGCTTGTACACGAGATTATTGATTAAAATAAGTAGCACGTTTTTTAAACCAAAAATAAGTAGCATGTTGACAATTAATAAATCTAGTTTTTTTAATTTGGATAGCTGAATTGTTGTCATAAGATTCTCTCTCTTGTTATTTTTTTTTTTCAAAGAAGATTATAATATTCCTTTGAGATGTGATAGTTCGGCGGTGTTTTGTTTTTTCTTCTTGCCATCGTGATGGTTCAGTAGCACACTTTTTTTTTTTGACCTGATCAGTGATTACTCGTATTTTGCACAAAACAAAAAAAATATTGAAATTATTCCAAACTTTAAAAATGAAAGAATTACAATAAGGTCCTATACAAAAAAAAAATTACAAAACAAGTATTAAATGTTGTTATTCTTTATTTTAAAACTTATTATTATGCTCAGGTTGTTATTAAATGTTTTAGTAGTTTATTTTTTTATAGGATTGATTATAATTTCTTTTTAAAAAATGATATAATAATATTTTTAAAGATGTGCATATGAGATTCCACGGTTCATGAAGAAATGACATCAGGAAATCTGTGTCTCACCGACCAATCAGGCCTATGACCAAACCTTACTTTTCCCAATTTCCGTTGATAGCTGTCTCTACTCCGCTCTCTCTCCCCTTTATCACCGACTCGGCTTCCTTCAACTTCCGATCTCTTTTTTTAAGTCTTTTGTCCCAAAAAAAAAAATCCGATCTCGTAACTCTTCTCATATCTCTTACTTCGAACCCATAATCATTAATGGGATAGCTAAGTTCTGCTCTTTCAAGATGCAGACTTTTAAGGAAAAAGTCACAGACAAGCTATCTCGCCTCTTCGCCGATTCTCCGCAGACTACCCCTCATCAGGTTTTGCTTCTTTCTTTCTTTTTCTCTCGTTAAAATAAAATTCGAATGACATGAAACGGTTTCATCTTGTCGCTCTGATCTGCATTGGGTTTTGTTATTTATTTCTGTTTTGAACAATTAAAGTCTAGCTTAAATCACCTTTGCTCGGAAGTTCGATCCGCTCTGTCCAAAATCTGAATCGGGGGTTGAATGTGTGGATTGAATTACACGGATTACATGCACAAAAAGATCGAAGTAAAGGAGAGCAATTGTGTGATTTGATTTCAATGATGTAGAGTCTAATTCGCACTAAGTAGGGAATGTGGGTCTCAGTGATGGTTTTCATTTTTGAGATGATGCTTGGTTTCTTTAAGCCGAGAAGGTTAGTCCTAGGCATAATCTACATATTCCTCTTGGTTGTTTCTCTGTCTTGCATATTTTATTTTATTGTGATGGAGAGAAATTATGATCAGGATCACAAGTGCAACTTCGTTATATCTGGTGAAACCTGGAATTTTTTTTTATTCACAAGTCTTTTTCATCTTGAGTGTTTAGGTGAGAGGCACTAATGACAAAAGGAAACTCACTTCATCTTGATTCAGGACCGTAACGAGTTTGATTAATTGGCCTCTTACTCTTTAGTTCAAATATAACGTCATTAAAAGTTGACCTGATGAAAGATGCTCCTCATGTAATAAACTGAAGACTCATTCAAAATAGACTTAATCTACTGTCTATTGCCGTGTGGGATTACTCTCTCTCTCTCTCTCTCTCTGTGGGGTAACAATTATTTTTTTCTATGAAATTTGACATGAGGTTTTCATTTATGTAGGGCAGCTCCTACTCTAAAGAGGGTAGATCATGGTCTTCATATTTTTCCTACGCCGTTCCTTCTGTCAGCTTCAGTGGATCCAGGACAAGCAACCAGCAATATGATCTTAAACCAATTCAAGTTGCATATGATAATCTAGAGTCTCAAGATGATCCAGATGAATATGTTGATTTTAGTCCAGTGTGTAAAAGCATGGATTTTTTGAAAGATAAAAATAAACATGAAGATCAGGTCTCCAGAAGGACTAGTTGCAGTTCGGAAGTTTTTGAAGAAGCAAATGGGCCGCAAACTCCTAATTCTTCGAAGAAGCCCCGGGTCAATCTGACTGATGAGTCTATTTTTATTTCACCTGAGTTGTATGAATTTTTTGAGTCCTGCCTCCCTAATATAGTTAAAGGGTGTCAATGGGTCTTACTTTATAGGTAACTTTTCCCTCTAGTTTGTAGTATGTGCATCAAGCATTACTGTTCTGTTGCATTGAAATATTAAGTATTGGTTCTTTCAAATGAAGGGCAGTACTTTGAAACACGGAATATCACTTCGTACGCTAATTCGCAAGAGCGCCGAACTTCCTGGTCCTGGATTGCTAGTATGTCAGTTTTCCAGAGCTCAATACATGTTTCTGAATATGGTGTTTATCTGGAATTTACTAGTAGTAAATCAAGCTGACAGGTATTAACTATTTGGCACAACTTTTAGATTGTCGGAGATAAGCAAGGTGCTGTTTTTGGTGGGTTGCTAGAGTGTCCTTTAAAACCTACAGCAAAGCGAAAGTATCAAGTATGTGAACATGTTTTCTTGATGATGCTTGCTCATAATATTTTTTTGCGTGCACTTCTACATTTTGAAATGTGATTTTGTTTTCTCTGGTGATACATGATAGGGAACACACCAATCTTTTGTTTTTACGACAGTATATGGTGAACCAAGGTTGTTTCGGCCCACTGGTAAGTATTATCATCTTTTCGTCTGCAAATTCTTGTTCTTTATAGGTAGATGTTGTTATCTGGGCAAATGCAGCTGTTTGACTAAATTTTGTTGCTCATTTTTTTTTAATCAATTTTTCAATGTTAATTTCTTGAGATCCTGGATTTTTATACACACACACACACGTGGCAATTACTGAAGATAATTTCTAAAGCAAGATATTGAAGACAACTGGCACTAAATGTCAACTTTTTTGTCGTCTTTTCTTTCGTGATATTTTTTTAGATGAATATTTTGATTTTATGTGTTCATATATATAGGTGCAAATCGGTACTACTACACGTGTTTGAATGACTTACTTGCACTTGGTGGAGGTGGTAATTTTGCTTTATGCTTGGATGGAGATCTGTAAGCTTTTTTGTCATTGCTTCTCTGTTTCTCTTAACATGTTTGGCTTTGTACACCCTACTCATGGTATCTCTTCTCTTGAATGTGATGGAAAGGTTGAATGGAACTAGTGGACCTTGCGACACATTTGGAAGCTCATGCCTGGCTCATAGTCCAGAGTTTGAGTTAAGGAATGTTGAGGTAATGTTCTTAAATTTGACATCAGTTATTACATTATTCATGATGCTTTTTGTGAAGTGAAAATCTTGATGCTTTTTTTAACTGTGGATCCCATTAGATGTTAAGATATGATCAATCAGTAGCATTTTAGTCATGAAATCTGAGTCACATGGTGGAAATTTTAACTATTCCAACGAAAGGGGAAAACAAGACAATGTACCAGGGAGTTCTAAAATGTTGTATTACCTTTTAACTACAAACTAAATCTTATATTAAGAACATATACTAGATCTTATGCTACTTTCGGTCTTTAAACTAAGAGTTAATTGACTAATTTGAATATATTAAGGAAATTAATTAAGTTAGTTATTTGCAATAAATAGGTGTTGTCTTTCCTAAAATATCCTTACTAATCAGGTATATTGGCTAGAAATACCATTATTACAAGGACTTCCTAGAAAAAAAAATGAATAAATATAAAAGACAAAGTAGATTGGGATTTTATATTTAGAACCAAAATAAAAGTCAAACGAACTCTTAAATTAAAAACCAAAGGTAGTATTAAGGATCGGAAGTAGTATGTTGTCAACACGAATAGGTGAACTTTACTGTGCATTGCTGCTGCTGCTCTACCCACAGTTTTTAATATATGAGTTAGATAACTAATTTGCAGATATTAAAAAAAAATTAGTAAAGTTGGTTATTTATAACAAATGTGCGCCGGTTTTCTTAAACTATCTTCTTTAATCATATGTATTAAAATTATCTTCTAATAGGAACTCTCTTAATATATACAATCAATAGGGATATTTTGAGGAGAAAAGTTATAAATTTGGAAGACAAAGTGGAACAAAGTTTTATATTTAGAATTAAATCTAATCCTAAACTAGTTTTTATGTTAAGGACTGGAGGTAGTATTTTATATTCTTTGCAGTATTATTCAATTATAATTTTCTTGTGCAGTTCTGGGGCTTTACTCATGCTTCCCCTTACCTTGCGCAAGGCTGATTCGTGTGTGTGGATATCAGCAAAGTAGCGTCTCCCCGCTTGCGTTTGCTTGCTGGCCTTCTATTCCATCCTTCACTTCTATTAAATAACTTACCAGATGCAGGTTTTAGTCAAATAGATTCCATGCTTGGAATTATGCAGTAGGAGGTTTTGTTATTTAAAGCCGTATGATCTTTTGCCCGATCCATGATCCGGAGCGGTTGGGTTATTTTGAGCCCGATCATTGTTGTGTTGGGCCGGTTTGCTTGGGCCTACTGGGCCATACTGATCCTTGGATCGGTCAACATGTGCCAGCCGGCCCTCACTAGAGACCCTAAAGAAAAAGTCAGCACATAAGTTATGAAACATGAAGGGGAGGATTATATTTATCTTGTGGCAGCATTATTAATTATGATGATGACAGATTTTTATTCCCAGCAGGGTTGTTTGGCAGTGTGGTTAGATTTGATGTGAGTCTTTCTATTCATGGGTTAAAAACGATACCGTTTTCACAACTTTTATATTTATGCATTGATGCAATTTTTTTTTTCTGGGTCCCAAAGTATGGCTTTGATGCTCTTTGATCATGTCATTTAGATCCATAATTAGCATACAGATGAAAAAATTAAAAATAGAAATGCACAATAATTATTGATGGGAATCAGGAATGTATTATTTATTATTTTTGACTAAATTATGTGTGTGTATTTGTATGTATATCCAGAGATAGAAAGACAAGTTAATTGAAAAGAAATAAAAGAGATACCCACTATCCCTGTTTTGAAGAAACATATCGTTTAGCCGATTGTGTATAAATTCCCCATAAAAGGAAGCTTGGAGTAAAACTGAAGAATGTGGAAAAAGAAAGCAGAAATTATGAATAATTTGCTTATACTTTATTCTACATTCTGAATACTTTTATTTTAGAAAAAAGATGTATCAGATACCTCACCCATTTGAGCAGAACAAGCATATATTATATGCTTGTACATAATGTCAAAATTAGATAAATATGTAGCTCCCTTTTTAAAAGCTCAGACCAAAAATCTTATGGTCATATGATATTTGATTAATGAGTTGCTTGGAGAAAATTTTCGTATATGTTCTTAACTATATAAATAAATATTATGTAGTTATATTACGAATCATATTTCACGCCGTCACCCACAGCCCCGAGATATATACTATTCATGGAATAATTAAGAATGAAAAACTCATGACCAATGGGTCATCTCGAAAATTAAAATTACCAAAATAGTTAAGCTTCTAGTAACTAATTCGTACTTTCATATATATATATATATATATGTATATATGTATATGAAAGAAATAAATTTCATTTCATGAATTTTATACTCCTTTAGTTCCTAAACGTGGGAGTTGTAATAGTCATCAAATAGCGGCCAAATGTTTAAGATTCACAATTGAAATAGTCATCCTTAATATTACTTCCGGTTCTTAATATAAGATATTATTTGATTTTTATTTTGATCCTAAATATAAGGCCCCAATCCATTTTGTCTCTCATATTATGCATTTTTTCACAGATAATTCTTCTAACAATAATAGTTATAGCCAATACACTTGATTAGTAAAGATATTTTAGAAAAAATAGTACATATTTATTACAAGTAACTAATTTAACTTCTTTTTTTAATCTCCTCAAATTAGTCAACTAACTCTTATAAATAGAACCAGAGGTAGTATTTGTTTGAGAAACTTCTATATTGTTAAAAAGAAAAAAAAAGAATGGAGTCAAGTTCAATTTTACAACAAAGCAACATATAATGGTTATATAATAATAGGATGCTATGTATATCTGGAAAGCATGGGTGAAATAAGGAAATTACACATAAGTGTGTTTCGTGTCAACAAAAGAGAGCAGATTCAGAACACGAAACGCACAGCAGATCAGAGGCACATGTTGGCACCTTTGCCATTTGGTTCAAAAGCCAAGTTCTCTTACGCCATATAAATGCGATGCTTCATATCGAGTGATTCTTTTACTAATTAACAAGCATAAGAAAGCATAAAAATGGCACAAAAAGCTAGCAATGCCACACTATATCACTTTCCTCAAAAACTTGGAAATCATCATAAGATCTTCCAAAAAAAAAACTGAATTAAACTGAATTAAACCATCGATATATCAAAGTTTTATTTATTTAATTTATTTCTGTAGATGGGAAAAAGTGGTTAAAAAAAGTCTCTCTTATAATTAAAAATATATAATTAAATGACTTGAATCATTTTATATATATATATATATATCAAAATTTTGTGGCAAAAATTGATTTAAAAAACTGTCGGAATATCTTATTGGTTAAAAAAACTTAAATTTGAGCGAATAAAATACATTTTCAACATATGCGACTCTTCTTCAATTATATATAACTTAGTTTTAGTTATATACAAGTAACTTTCATTTTAAAAACATTTGCATGTAGTTGATGATAGATTGAATAGATAATTAAAAAACAGTTGCATTAGGTCTTTGAGACCAATACAATTTTCGAATAATTATTTTTAATTAAATTTCCCACTTCAAAATGAATCGAAGCATAAGGCTAGCCATCCAGGCGAAATATATATACACTTTTTTAATTCTAAATATAAAATCTTTATATATAAGAGTTTTATATTTAGGATCGGAAAAACATATATATGTGTGTGTACACACAAAAGGTTAGCCATTAGCTAGTTTAAGGGGGTGTTTGGATAGAAACCAAACCATGGTTTTAGAAGTGCTTTTGTAATTTACGAAATAAATATGTGAAGGAGTTTGCTTCGTTTTAAAAAAAAAATATTAAATGTTGCCAAACACTCCTAAAAGTGGAGTTCTTCATCAGATAAAAAGGTGGTCCTTTTAATGGACTTACGTGTCGTAAGTAGAGGAAAAGTAATGTGGGATCACGTTATTAGCTGGACAAATGATATGACAGTATAATTCTGTACTGAAAAAAAATCACTTTAATGATAAAGTGACAACAGCATGGGTATAAATATTTGTACTTAAAATCAAACTCAGTATTCGAAGGGATGAAGAGCATGAGGCTACGAGACACTGAATGCCTCTTTTTTTTGCATATGCAGGACGCCAAAAGCTACTAAACAGTTTTCAAAATCCTAATTATTAAAAATCCTGTAATAACCAAGAAATCTATGTATACATATAATCACTGATAGGTCAACTCATGGGAAAAAGGCCTGGTCAAAAAAAAAAAACTCATGGGAAAAAGGGGGAGGCAAGCCTAAGACACTTAAAGTTAAAAGCACATGGTAACAAGTGAAAGAGAGACACATATACCAATGCTTCTTGCAGGTCAAGCTAACCAGAGAGAGGGAGGAAAAAACAAAACATCTAAAGTGGATCCCATGAGTGACCAAGGAGCTAGCACGCACGCACCCTCGCAGACATGTATTTTCGGATGCTGCTTTCTAGTCAAGAACCTAGGCACAAATGCCAGGCACGTACGAGAAACAGTGTTTAAGAACGGTTCACAAAAGTACAAGAAGGATTTTTGGTCGCCTCAATGCCTGGAATCTATTACCAGCATAAATTTAAAGAAAGAGCTTCCATTCCAAAATACTAGTCAAAGTACATTTCACTTAAGTTAGAACCATCCATAGGCGGCCTTAAAGCATCATTATTATAAGCAACAAGCCCAAAGAAAAAAAAACTTATCTCAAAAGATTAGTCTATTGGGTGAGAGAAGCTTTTAAACTTATGAATCACACTTTACATATGAGGCTCTCGACGTGGGGCTCGTTACAGAATCTATGTTAATATTATCAATATTCTTATATACGTACTGATGGGCTGTGGATGTAAAGGGATGATATATAGAGTGAAACGCAACCGAGTGAGAATCCAAAACCAAAGCATATATGTTCACTCTCTTAGGAATTTTCCTTCTGCTATGGAACCATTAGCTGCCTGCCCTAAACTTTTTCCCACAAAGGAGCTAACCCTGAAGCTGCATCGATCTCTCTAGAATCGAATTTACACACCCACACCAGAATTGACTGATATATTCATCTCTGTCATCAGTCACAGCACAATCTATTGTGTAACCCATCTTTTTACCAGGCACATTTATGCGCAACGCATAGTTGAATAAAGTCACTTGACGTGTCGATCTCTGGATAAGAGTTTACTGAGATGTAAGATACTGATAAACACTAAACACACTCTCATCACTCACACGCAAATTTAAACGCTCTTATTAAAACGAAGATCAAGTTGAAAAGGAATGATGCCATCTCTGCTCGGAGAGGACAGAGAGACAATATATATATGATGCAAAGTAAGCTGTACCTGTCTATGTCCATCATAGGTTTTTGTTTGTTGTTTCTTTATTTTTCTGTCTGAGATGGGACGATGGTGATTAATCATGTATGGTCGGCCTGTTCTTTTTTACCAGAACCTAGGGTTCATATTGCAGAGAGAGAAGCTTCGTATATGGTCTCTGACCAACTTTCTATCGAGCTTTGTGCGGAAAACATATCAAAGATGATTCTTCTGTGATGAATAATACAGGTGCTATTCTTCTGTGGTGGGATATGTCAAAATCTTTATGAACAAGGGGTTTTCTTTTGCTGCTTGACTGGGATGCTGATATTATGCACATCACTTTAGAATATTATATATGTGTGTGTCTGTGTGTATTACACTTGGATATATGTGCATGGGCGGCTTGAAAAATTAAACAGTAATGGTATTGATTTTCAGGGGTTTCAAATGATGTAGATTGTTAGTTGTTAAGCAGAGAGTATTTGATAAAATAATTAAAATTAAACTAAAATATATAAAAGATGAATTTGTGTTTGAAAATTGATATATCTGCGCGTATAGTTTAAAAATAAAAGATAAACCTATGTATAGATTTAACTAAATTAAAAAATATTTACAATTCCCCTTAAATTTAAAAAGGGATGGAAAAATGGTGTTTGCATTAATATTTACCACGGACTAGTAATTTACAAGACAATTGACAGTGATCGCAAGCATCTTGAGGGAATTTTATCTTTACGCATTGTTTACGGTGAATATGAAATTACACTTGAGTTATTTCATTTCATCAAATCTTTTTGAGATTATTTGATGGATTCATGATCATTATTATTAACCACATTGCAAATATATGAGCGCAATCTAATAAATCTATACCACTTTGTTCCGTTTTAATTGTCAATTGTAAGAGGGGATTTTGGTCATTTTTATTTGTTACTTGTACCCTTTTTTAATGTTTCATTTTCAATTCTACTCCTATTAATCAAGGGAGACAAATGTAAAGGTGAAGAGAAAGAGCGTGAGTGAGAAAAAATATATTAACTATTTAATAAAGATAAAAATGAAAGATTTTATGTATTTAATGATTTTCTTAATATGTGAGAAACTATTACAAATGACAATTAATTAAAAAAGGTCATAGTGGTACAAGCAAGCAAGGACACATCCATCTTTAATTTCCTGTTCAAAAGTGCGATTAATTTAATTTATTTCAATTTTATTAACTACTCGCTCTTTGCCGTTTTTTAATATATGCGTTAAAGATATTGAGATAAGACCTTTTCGTATTGCTTTACTTAAAATTCACATAGGAGTAATTAAAGTAGCATCAAGACCAAAATAACGTTTCTGAATTTAACTAATTTTCCAAATCAGTATTGGAAAATCACGTATGCATGCATTCTTAGTAATTTTCTAATCCAGTTTAAGCTATTTTAGAGTGTTAAACTGGGTATAATTAGCATGTTAAAAATCCAGTTGTCCTCCATAACACAGCTCATGGAGAAGAAAAATAACGTTTTCAGATCACACTATACACTCCAATGCAAAGCACTTGATTGGATGAGGAAAACCTTAAAAATAGCATGTCAATATTACTTCTCTTGTCCTTAATATAAGATATATTTAACTAATTTAATTAAATCAAAAAGTTAGGTAAGTTAGTTAATTATAAGAAATATGACATGTTTTTTCTAAAACACCATAATCATCTTCTTTAATATTCTTTCTCCCTCTTTTACTTGATTATGGTTGAGGGAGTATCTATAGGGATAATTCAGGAAAAATTGTTAAAAATGAGAAATAGATCTTATATTTAGGATCAAAATTGACTCAACAATTAGGTCTTATATTAATGACTGGAAAAGTATTATATTTTTTTGATAAGCATCGGAAAAGTATTACTACCTCCAGTCCTTAATATAAGACCCTGTTTGACTTTTATTTTGATCCTAAATATAATAGCCCAATTCATTTTGTCTCTCATATTTACTCAATTTTTTTCAAGATAATCCTTCTAATAATATAGTTTTAGTCAATACACTTGATTAGTAAGGATATTTTAGGAAAAAGACAAATAACTAACTCAACTTACTTTTTTAATTTTCTCAAATTAGTCAACTGGCTCTTATAATTAGGATTGGAGGTAGTACATTGAAAGAAGCTAATTAAAAAGTGAGTTAAGCGTAGCATAATAGATCCGTATAATACACATACTCCTCCGGTCCTAATTATAAGATCCAATTGACTTATTTGGGAAGATTAAGGAAGTAAATTAAATTGGTTATTCATAATAAATAAGTGTTGTCATTCTTGAAATATCCTTACTAATTAAGTATATTGGCTAAAACTATCATTATTAGAAGGATTATCTTGGAAAAAATGCATAAATATAAGAGACAAAATGGATTAGGGTCTTATAATTAGGACCAAATAAAAAGTCAAATTGGGTCTTATAATAAGGACCGGAGGAGTATAAAATAATTATGCATGAAAGGCTTGGTCAACCCAGTTTCTGCTGTGTCTCCCGAGTTCGCGCGGGTCAGAGGCACGACCCGACCCCGATAGGCAATGCGTGGTTGGCCGTGAGCCCCGCGTTGACGCCTCGCCAGTAAGAGGCTGACGGCTATACGTACACCCCATGCCTCTATATATAATTCTTGAGCCTTTTGACACCCTCATACTCTCCTTCTTCTTAGCTAACTACTCGTTTATATCACTTTCTCTCTCTCTTTTTACAACTCTCTCCTCCCCCTCTGCTCGCTGTTTTCTGTTTCTCTGCTTGTTTTAGTCTTCTTCTGCATTGTTCTCGCAACTCGTAGCCATGAAGAGTTTTCTGGGACATGCTCATCATAATATCCCGTTGTTTCGCTCTGCTTTATAACAAGGTTGTTATATATACACACGCACGCACACTATTTATATATACAGGATTACGTGGTTATTTTCATCTCTTGTTGGCGTGAAAAAGGGGTAGAATTTACAGGATGTTGCAGGATGTCATCCACGCGCCACCGCAACCGCCACCTCCATCCCAGGCGGAGCAACTTGCCAATATTGTAATGACCTCAAGTCTCAATCATGATATTGTTTAATGCACATATGCGTTATCATGATGGGCTTTTTGGTATGTTGTGTGATTACAATGAACCTGAGAAGTAGGTTACGTTTTCTTTTACGCTCATTCGTTTTCCCTTGAAATCATGTCATCTCTTATGTGTTCATTCATTATTATCTGATGATCTTCGCTGTTACATTCCATGCACGCAGAAATGTTATGTTTATGTCCTGTTTGATATTTTGTCCATATCGATGTGTAGTTATTATGCTCATTGAAATATTCCTCCAGAGCTAAAATATATTGACACGCACGTATGTGTGGGTGTATATTTCAGAGAAAAGCAGAAACCACCTTAAATTTGCAGGACATGAAAGTTTTCTTTCCTATATATACTTATACGGTTGGAAAGCAATGTGTTTATTGACTGGGGAATAAGAACGAATCAAGACTCCGTAAGAATGAGGCTTTTCCCTTTTCTGAATATGTCCAATCAAAAGATGTTATGCCATCAAACTGTCATTTTCTAAGGGGCAACATTGGAAACCACATCATAATTTCTGCATTTGCGTGATAATCTTTTAAACGACTTTTAGCTCCAAGATGTCTTTTGAACTTAGCTTTCATTCGTTGTGGAATATATATCGTTTTTGCCCTTTCTGTGCACGCTTTGCAAAATTTGATTCTTTTATTCAGTTAGATAGAAGAGAGGACTTGATGAAAACAGTTCACATGGTGGAGTTCTTTAAGAGTGTTTCGTATTTCCCATTGTAGGGATATTTCTATATATTGAACAAAAAATAAAATTCCATGAGGTTCCTTCTTCGTTTTCACAAATTGGTTTTCATACAAATATTAAATGCACTGGCTCCTACAGGTCACATGGAGGGATAGATGCACGTCCTTTTCTTCTATAACCCAAGTAAAAAAAAGCCAACCTTTCGGAGAATTTTGTATCTGATTGTGACTAAATATAGACAAAACTGACTGGACCATGCAACCAATACATTTAGAATGTGTTATAAGGGTTATGTACGTTGAATTATTTCATTTTCTTACTAGACAAAGACTGGGAGTAGTATTGTGGCAGATACTGTGATTAATTGACAGTTTTTAACTCACTACGGAATGCCCACTATTTGATGAAGACAATTGCAATACAAAGCTAAAATTGATTAGGGAATATTAGCTTTTCAGTGTTCAAACAGTGAGTCCTCTTTTCTGTTTTAAATGACCAAATCAGGCTCGTGTCTATCAACAAGTAGAGGAATTGGATTCAGGTCTACAATGAAAAAAATTATAGAGAATCACGCTTCTTCAAGCTTGTTTTAAATAGCGTCTATCCTGAAAACCATTCTGAGTTATATGTTTGGTAGATTTTGGAAGTCATGTTGTTCACAATGCTTTTAAATCATCTGGTGCAGGATGAAATCTCAAGCCCAATTAGTGCTCGAATTTTCGAGCTTTGTGACCCTGAATTGTTCCCGGAGACCCTGCAGAATTCTGAGGTTACCTCCAGCTCAAACTGTTGCTATGAAGAGAACTCCTCCTATACCCCAAATATATCTCTAGCGTTAGATGTAGACAATAAGTTCAGCAATAGCAATACAATCACCACCCAAACCAGCGCAAACACGACCAGCACCGCCCCGGCTGCGCCTACTGCCAACACTACCACCAACAACAATACAACCAACAGCAGCAATCTGTCCATTATCTTTGACTCACAAGATGAAATTGACAATGACATTTCTGCCTCCATAGACTTCTCTACATCTCCTGCTTTTCCTGTCCCTCCATATCTCCCAGTCACAACTCAACAGGATCAGCAATTTGATTTCTCTTCACTGCAGCCTCAGGTCACACTTGCAGCAAGTTCAGTTGTGGAAGGCCTTGCACAATACCCCACTGACTCTGCTGTTGCACCTCTTATGGGGGCTCCATTAACTACCGTTTTTGAAGAGGATTGCTTATCTTCTGTCCCTTCTTATGTGCCTTTGAACCCTTCATCTCCTTCTTGCTCTTATCTTAACCCTGGCATAGGACCATACATGCCTCTTGGTCCCCTTAATACTGCCTTATCTGCTGATAGTTCTGGGATATTTGGTGGGAGCATTCTTCTGGGTTCTGAACTGCAGGCACAAGAACTGGATTACCAGGGAGAAAATGGTGGAATTTATTGTCCAGATTCAATTCAAAGGGTTTTCAACCCTCCAGACCTCCAGGTATTGGCAATTTTCTTCTTAAGAAAATAATCTTTAGTTCAGTATTTATCAAATTCTGGTTGATTGATTCCTTTTCTCAGTGAAAACCCAAGTTAAGAAGGTTCAGTTCAATAAAATACATTCAAAAAGCAAGGGAAAAAGAAGAGCTTTCTATTTGCTAGTCTGAATGGTTGTAGCTGTAAAGTTCGTCACCAATAGTTGGTTTAATTCATCAGAGGTGGACATTTAGGGAAAGATCGTGGTCCACCTATCTCCAAGAAGCTTAAGGAGTCCCCTAGATGCTCAAAACTATCGAACTGGGGCTACATTCACTCTATTAGTCTCTTTAGAATGTCACCTGCATTAAAAAGTGGCATAAAGTTGGGCTAACAGGAAGAAATCATAACTTTCAACAAAAAAATGAATTATGTATAAACACTAGTCCGATATTATTGGCAGAGAAGACCCACTTTACGGCCACCTCTATTGTCTATCACTTTCTGCAGCATCGGTTTAAAGTTAAATTCGATACTTAACTTTAGGCTGATCAATAATTAACTTTTATTTGTAATTTGATCAGGCACTTAGCGCTGAGAGTCAGCAACTGGTAGCTGGGGCTGGGAGTTCTGCCACTTTGACACCGGAAATATCAAACTTGGAGGATTCTACCTTCAAGGTTGGAAAACTTTCTGTTGAACAGAGGAAAGAAAAGATTCATAGATACATGAAGAAAAGGAATGAGAGAAACTTCAGCAAGAAAATCAAGGTACTCTCATCCCACTCTCCTCCCCACACACAAATAAAAGTTGTATAATATTTTTAATAAAAAATAGTTAATAACAGATAAAAAAAAAAACTGTTTTTAGTCACGTCAAATATTTCATGCTTTACGACGTGTGATTTCTTGTTCCGTATAATTTGAAGCTTTAAAACTAATGGTTGAAGCAAATCTACATGCAGTATGCTTGTCGGAAAACTCTAGCAGATAGCCGGCCACGGGTTAGAGGAAGGTTTGCAAAGAATGATGATTTTGGAGATACTCATAGACCTGCTAGTAGCAATCATGAAGAAGATGATGAAGAAGACGTAAGATTCCCTTGAACACGTTTTTGGTTCAACTTGCCTATGTGTAAAAGAAAAACCCCATCACCTTTTTACGTCCTTTCCATCAATTATTTGTGTTTTGGCAAAATTCCCTCATCCAATTATATTCCTTCTTTTGGTGGTACATGCAGGTAGTTGTGAAGGAAGAAGATGATATGGTTGATTCCTCAGATATTTTTGCTCATATCAGTGGAGTGAACTCCTTCAAATGCAACTATTCCATCCAGTCCTGGATCTGACCAAACAGTCTCATTACAAACACCTATATAGATTTAGCTTAGAAAATTTGCAGGGCCCTGTTCCATCCTGGTTTGATGGTTTAAGGAAAGTAAATAATGGGGGTCCTCATATTATCCCAATAAGAGTCAGGAGAATATATATAATATATATACTCACACCCACAAATATATATCTATATAGAAACGAAGAAAATTGATGTATACATTTTTGCACATATTACATTGACATCGTTAATTACTTGCACCTACAGAAGTGTCCCATGTTTCTATTAACGCATGACAAAAATCTCCCAGGTCATGGATGTAGTGCTTTATACATGATCTTTAGGAACTAGCCTTAAAGCGATTTCATCACCACAGGCTTCAAATATGTTTCTCTAAGCTACTGCAAGGCGTTTGAAAATGAAGCTAAAACCATCAGAAAATTTCTGGTTTAGATGCTTTTGCTATCTCAGGATGCCCTGTAACAAAGGAATTTCTATATCTGTAAACATATGTTGTATATAAATAATAAGCCTGATGCAGAAACTCCAATATTAATTCAGTTTGCTTGATCAAAAAATGATGCCGTCTTTATACTAATTAGATGCATGCGTTGTCAGATTGCAGAAAATTATAAGAGAGGAAAAATTCTTTTGTGGGGCGGCAGAGGTCCCTTTCTTTTTCTTTTCAAGATGAGTATTTTCAAGTAGCTTTAATTAATATAACGATGTCTCTTGAAAGCACCGACTTGGTCTTTAACCCTGATTGAAAAAGAGCATGGCTTTCTAAATAAAGTCTGACAGAATAAAAGGGCTAGAAAATGATTTATTACCACAAACACACCCCCTAACAAGAGAAAATTATCATGTTTAAGGAGTGATATTCTCTCAATCGCCTGGCTGTATGATTTCTTCTTTTCTCCTTCTTTTCACAAGGAATCTGTGTATTGCTGGATGAGTTTTGAGGCTTGTCAAACCCAAACCCATATGGGATTAACTTTGCAAAAACGTCTTTAATATTCACACGAACTCTTAAATTTGAGAAGTGAGATTTAACTGGTCATAATATGAATACTGTTTGTGGGTGAATGGTTTCTTTGTCTTTGTCGTTTTATATGTTTGGAAGAAAAATGCAGTTCTCATCCCTGAATAGAGAATAATCATGTCGAAGATTCTCACCCAAGAAGGAAACTATCAATGTCATGCTCTGGCACGAGTGGAGGAAGCTTTCGCATTTGCATCTAATTCCCCCCTCATGAATCATAACTTTGGCGGTTTTGGAACAAACAAAAAGCTTTTTTTATCTTCCATTATCATTCGTCTTTATTTCGTAATACTGTATGGATAAAATTAAACATATCTGAACACGATAAAAATTGAATAATTTTAAAACTAGTTTGACATTATATACGGATGAGACCAAAGATACTCCAACCCGATGTCATGATACACGATCTCACCTTATTAAAAAACGTAAATTTAAATTCCCAAAAATATACTTGTCAAAAAGATTTAACCTTTAGGTTTCAGGTTTAATAGAGATTAATCGTTTAAAATTTGGGAATAATCTGAGTTTATAAAAAAATGAAGGCACGAAGAATATTTTTATCTTTACATAATTTACATAAACTGGTATCTTTATTTTATCCTATGATGATGCATATCTTATTAAAGATAAAGATGCCTCATTAATGAAGTGTAAGAGAATGTGGGCGAGGAAGGTATTAAATTGTTGGTCAATGAGGGAGGAATATATGTACTTGACCACCACATGACCAGTTCACATCACGCTCTCTCTCTCCCCCCATCACATGGCCCACGCAAATGTAAAGTTTAATCAATGCATGTGTCTCAGTGTCTGCATCAAGAACAACAACAATTTCTTTTGCATTGGCCCCACAAATTCCGAGTTCAAGAAATTGATTGTTTTCTTTTCTTAGATCTCCTCCATGTATTTTTCCTCTCAGCGTTGCAAGTGGCATGCAGAAATTCCTCGGGCTCTAGTGGACTCACTTCCCTATCATGCGCACCAGCTCATCAAAATCTGACATCTTTCTTTGTCGCTCACCACCCCCATTTCCTTTATCCATGTTGAAGAGCTTTTGGTACACAGGACATTGGGGCACTCGGCTTACTTCGCCAGATGCGAGATTGAGAACTTGGGTCCTACCAGCCAACCCTGATTTTTGGGCAATCTGGGGTAGTGGGAGAATTTTCATCCTACAATCATGGCTCACGAACCCCATTTTTATGACACCACTTCGCCCTCTTTCCTTCGTTTAGGTCGTCTGGTTTCTACTCTCTCTCTCTCTTGTGGTGTTAAATATTATACAATTTTTCTCTTTTTCCAAAGATTATTATTAAAAACGAGTTTTGGAACTTAGTATTATAATTACGTCTGGTGGCTGTCGCTGTGTCTCTGCTGATCCTTGCTTCCCATGTGCTGCTAAGTTGGGTTTTTCGACCTCTTACTGTTCATTTCACTCTGTTTGGGGTAATTGGGTTCTCTGGCGTGTCCTCTGAACTTGGTGTCGGGGATGAAAAGCTCCAATTTTGAGGATAAATGAGTCTTGGTGTTCGAAGAACCAGCCTTTTCTCTTCGGCTATATGTGTTCATTTGACTAAGGTGGAATCGACTCTTCTTGGATCGAGTTTCTCTGGTAATAGAAAGTTGTTCTTTGTAATAGTAGTAATTACTATGTCGCTCATGCTTTCTGCTTCCTTTTTATAGCTTTTTTGTTTTTTTTTTTTGGGGTTAATGGAGTACTTTCCGCACTTCTGTTTCTATAGATTTGGATATAACAACCTTAGTTTGTTTGTTGAATCATTGATTGACTGACCCTATATAACGAACTTTAGTTTGTTAGTTGAATCATCGATTGACTGACCCTCCTTTGTGAGGTTTAAGGTTGCAAATTGCTAGAAGTCTGGACTTCCTTGCTCTTTTCTTCTTCCTCACTTCTTCAAAAGACCCTCCCACCCTCCCTAGACAGTGGTGAATAAAGTGTTGATTTTGAGTAAGTGGGTCTAGTAGTGGTTAATTCGTGGAATTGTATCTTCATTGAGCTTCCGTAAATCCTGGAATCATGCATACACATTGCTGAACTTAAGAGCATTTTAGTCAATTAATTCTCCATTTTCTATTGAGAATGTATATGGTTTCCAGATTTCTTTGTAGTGCTATAATGGTCTCTTTCATGTTTATTTTCGATTTTTTTTTAATTGATTTACATTCCAAAGTTGCATGTCATGGTATATGTAAAAGAGTACCATAGTTTAGATGCCTCTCAATGTATCGAAAAATCTTATAGGTCAACCCTCTAAAGCAAAATGCCACTTTGAAGTTCTGATTTGTTGATATTTCAAGTTATCTTTTACCAGGTTCGTAACAATTTCTGTTGTTTTTCAGGAATCTTTGAACATTCAGTTGAAAGCAGAGGATTTTGAAAGAAACGGCCTGCCATTAATGCATAATAGTTAGTTGCAGGTGTGAAATGGAAAATAAAATCATATGCCTTCCTGGGAAAAAGGGTTTAATGAATAGCTTGTGCAAAGATAGGGAATTATCAGATGATAACTCTTCAAAATTTTCTGATTCACAACCAAAGAAGTTGATCAAAAGAGCGAACTCACAAAGGACCGTAGTTATAGATGTTATCCAGTCGCAAGCTAACAAAGCTTTCTTGAAGGATATATTCTTCCGACGTGTTCATGGATTCAACCACAGGATACCAAGGCATGTGGTGAGTGTAGATGAGAAATATCTTCGCCGCTGCCTAGAATATATACACATGAGTGCATTGAAAGCAGGTCACTGCAATACACCCGTGAATTTAGGATACACAAACACGGGAATTTTGTCAGAAAGCTATGCTGACTTGATTCGTGGGGATGCTTGTGATTCAGGTGAGCTATTCTTTGAATGTCCTGAAGCAGCTGGGACTAGGAATGGAGGTATAAATGATCAAGCTTCAGAACACTGGACTATAGGTACAGTGATGGGGAGTAAGAGTATGATAAATATATTGAGTAATCCTCTGTTTCACCAGTTTCAGCATTCAGATAGCAATAACAGGTTCAGCAGGATGAATTTAACTGATGATAAAGGGTTTCTATGCTATGATTTCACGGACTCTCCTAGTGGTTTGAGTATCTCCTCACATAAACTAGAAAAGGAAGCACCGATGATGAAAAGCCACAAGTTTTGCTCTGCTTCTGCTAATAGAAATATGGCCTCTACTTCCAGCTCAGGCTCTACTTGTTCTGACCAGCTATCATCTACTTTTCCTATTCCTTCTCATGCAATGCTTCGATGCAAATGGAGGAAAGGAATTCCTCATTTTGTATTTTCTACAGATGATCAAAAGGAGGTCTATATGGCCATATTGAGAAAGGTAGATCCAGCAGATGTTAAGGCTTTGGACTATGTATACTTGTTCTATAGGAAAAGGGGTGGCCAAAAGGGCTGTCAGATCCCTGACAATGATTTGCAACTCGTTGGCAAGATGAATGTATCAACAACTTCTACACTTGGCCCAAACAATTATAAAGTTTTAGAAACTGCATTTGTGGTATTTGGTAACAATGAAAATCATGACAGAGAGATATATGCTTCAAGTCATACTCAAAGGAAGAACAAGGGGTTGTCAAAGGTGTCACAAGTATTCAGAACTAGTCCATCATCAAAACGCAGAGCTCTCTCAAACTTTGGCGGATCTGGTGCCATAGTGGAAAGTTGTCCTTTGAAGTCATATGCGCTACGTGAGAATGATGTAATAGAAACTAATGTTCCACCAAATTTTGAGTTGGCTGCTATTGTTGTGAAAGATCTTCTTCCTTATGGCAGGCCTGGCAAGGTAGGAGGTTGGGGTTTAAATTTTCTCAACAAATCTGGAGTCAAGCAAACTACATTGCCTTCTGAAAGTAGTCAAAAAACCAGTGATTGCTTGCCTGGCATGAACATTCTAATACCAGCAGGCCAACATGGTGGCCCAAGAACAAGAAAAGGCGGCCCGTCTAGCCTGATAGATCGATGGAGATCTGGGGGCTGTTGTGACTGTGGTGGCTGGGATGAGGGTTGCCCTCTGACAGTACTCCAGAGGAGATCGTTTGAAAGAGATTTTCTCCCTCAAGTAGATATGCAAGGAGAGTGCAAGTCAGTTGATTTAGTTAAGCAGGTCTGTTAATATTCTCATATTATGTTTGATGTTTTTTTGCTGTAGTTCATACTGACATTACACCTAATATCAATATAACTAAATAGAATTGGGGTAAATGATATTGTGATTACCTTCTTCTTTTTTAAGAAAATTTTTTTTTGCAATTATGAATAGATATGATAATGACCATTGTTCATTGATTGATCCAATGGCCACCAAGGTCTAATTTTTAATAGTTCCATATGTATTACTGCATTATGCTTTCCACATTTGCTGTACATATAAAGTCTTTGTATGAGTTTGTTGTTGCCGTCCTTCAAATTTTCAGGGATCAGGCGAGGTCAGCTCCACTTTGAGGATGGAGAAAGTTCATGATGATTTGTATTATATTCATTTTCAACCACTCTTGTCGCCACTGCAATCTTTGTCCATCGCCGTGGCAATAGTTCATTCACAGAGTCCTACTCTTCGGCCAGCCAGTGGACAGGATCTGTGATAACTAAAGTCAGGAATTGAAGTTATTTAGTCAGTCATAATTCTTTTAATTGTATTATAATAGAAATTACTGAGAAGATTTAGGAGTTTATACAAGAATCAGGCTTTTACTCCTTTGTTTATGGCTTTTATTTATTCATACTGGTAGAGGTTAACTAATTTGGGAGAACTAGCTATGCTTGTTTTCCCATTTTCAATTCCTAGACTAGAATGATTTGTAACCATCCTTTACCCTCGTTCTTTTTTCAAAGGGAAAGAATGTAAAATCTTTTGATGAAGAATATTTGGAAAATATTGGCATTGAGTTTTGGGTTTGTACAAGGTTGTTATCCTAAGGTAGCTTGAGTTACCCCTCTATATGAGAGGTTTTTGAAGATGGTTATACATACTACTATAATGGGTCATTAAGCTCAGATTTGTGGCATATTGGAGTTTCTGCATTTGTTTTTTGGCTTCTTGGCACAAAACAGTGGTTGCCACTTTTCTGATGGGAACCTCTGTACTGTATTTACCCTTGTTGCTTAATGGCATTGCTTCTTTGCGGCCTGTAGGGCAGTGCCAAATCTTACTTGTTTGGGCAAAAATAATGTTGAGAAGAAATGTCAATAAGACGAAAGTCGACAAATCAATTAAAAAAGATAACATTTTTAAGGATTTAACTTATCTTGGATTTTTCTGACAAATTTCACTGGTTTCTTGTTAATAACTGGTCCGCAATTGTCCCAAGGAAGTCCATGGTGTCTTTTTTTTTTTTTTGGTTATGCTTTTTTCTGGTTTAGAGAAAATAAAAACTGATTTCCAACTCCTAAACTTCTTCACCAAGAAGCCAACCTGAATTCCTGAAATAAATGTTTTTTTTTGGGTGTGAGAAGGATATTTTTTATATGTCCACTGTAAGTTCTATAAAAATGAGATTTTTGTTCGTCGCAATATGAGATTTACCTCTCTATCTATTTTTTCTCCATCATTTTATAATAAGAAAGTATTCAGTGAATCACGAAGAAGCTCTCAAGAGTCAAATCATGGCTGATTCATGGACAACGAATCAGAGAAGCTCAAGCTGGAAACATGGTCATGGGTTCCAAAGAGGCCTAAACTATTTCATGGACAATAAATAAGAGCTCATGGGAGGGCCTAGCCCATTGAATGGAAAGAAGTAGTATCTTGTTGTGGGCTACAAATTGGAGGAAGTTGGCGTTAGACCCTTACAAGAACAAAACTTCAACAATTGTAAAAAAAAAAAAAAAAACCAATGAGGCAAGCCTGCATGGCAATAATGCCTGACTCGAATCCTTAAACCCTAATTGAAAAGGCCACCTAGAATTCTAACCCGGACTTCCCTAATATAAGGCTCCTTATAAATGTCATCCAGTAAGCCCTTTGGCCTCGCTAGCACCGACAGAAGATTGCGAAGCGAGGTCAGTTCGCGAGGACTTGCTTCGTTTTTGTTATTTCATTTTGGTTATGCATGTGTATAAATAATGTATTGCTTAGAAAATGTATTTCTTGGAAAACCTAAGTATGTTTTCTAGCAAGCCTGAATATTTGACATCAAATGAAATGGCTCATGCTCATTTTGAAAGTAATATTTTTTTTTTGAGTAGGATGGTATTGCTGCCTCAGGTATCCCAGCACAATCGGTCAGACTAATCCCAGGTGCACTCGCAGGTATCGAGCCCATGACATGGTAGGAAAGGCGCCATGCGTTCCTGTTTGCGACCAGTCAGACCCGACCCTTGCAGGATTTGGTTAAACGTATGTGGTTATTGAAGAATATTTTGTTATGGTACTGTCCGAATCCATAGTTAAGGGTAAGATCTCTCGCTTTGTAAATTATGGGTCGAAGAAAACAATAAAACCTTTTGTATTATCTGCTTTTTAGGATCTGCAGATACTGCTGGTAACAAGATCAGGATGTCCCTAATCTTTGTTGAAATCACCAGCATAAAATATCTGCATTATATTGGTGAAGCTGATGGGTATCAAAGGTCGCCTGAGTAGATTGCCATTTACTTGACTTGGTGGCACTATTAGGGATGCTATTAAGAAAGGGGGCCCCTGATCTCAGGAAGAATGTTTTGCCCTCTTTGACTGTGAGACCTTGCAATGTGGTGAAGGATTGTATCTCCATGTATTTCAGAGGTCACATGCACAGTAAATTTCATTGGGTTGGTGTCGTCGCATCTATTATCCTGTCTTGCTTTTAACAGATGTTGCGAGACGTCTATTGAGGAGCGGGATGGCAATCTGAAATTTGATAATCCGTCATTTTAGAAGTGTCTTATGGCTGTTTTCCCCAAAAAGCTCATATTTGAATGGATGCTTGAACTTCTGGTGACTATATCTTCTGTTTGGTTTGGGTGAATCTGTGACAGACTTGCAGTGCTTATGTAGAGGCAATTAGACAACTTTTTCAAGCAATGATTTTCTTTGTGAGTTAGGGGGCATAAAGAATGTATAAATATCGCTGGTTCAACTCTAAACAGTGTCCTGATTTGTGCATATTGATGTGCATATAATGATGGATGCTTCTAGAGCCAGCTACATAAATGTTATCGGATATATCTAGTTGGATGTCTCTTAAATGGGATCCAACTTTTCGCTGTTCGATACATCTTCTGTTTGCTCCTTGTCCTGTTTTTATTTTCAATGGTTGATATATCATTATTCCCATGATCCCAGCCTTACTTCCTATCAACTACTGTACTTTGTCAATATTGAAACATGCCTTTTGCTTTATCTTTTTTTGTTTCTTGGCTGTTGTTATTAGTTTGATTTCTTTTAAGATGTGGAATGCCCGATGTGATATAATTGTTGCTTTAGAAAGATTTGATTAAATAAATTTATTATAAAAATGAATATCATGTGCCTTCTGAATGTTTAAGTCCTTCATTTCTGGTACCCTGAAAAACATTGCTTTCCCCAGACTTAAGTCATGTATCTCCCATAACGCACAATGGTTGATACAGTTACAAGTCTGGAAAATTAACAGAGTCCATCGTTACAGATGTGCTGGCCTTTTTAGTGCTGACATCTGCTCCACTGGGGCTCTACAATATTTACAAGACGTTATTCTTCTTTGGTCATTGATTATATTTAAAATAGTCATTACTTCTCAAGTTTCTGTTAGATCATTGTTTTGGTTTTATCAAATGGGGGGGGGGTTAAAATACTCAAATTATTGAGGAATATCACAAATCCAATTATCTGTTGGGGCTAGTTAAAATGTTTACAAAGAGAATTCTAATACTTGTTAGCTTACCTACCTAATTTCAATTGGCTCATGATATGTAACATGATTCCCCTGCTCTTCATTTGATTCAAACTGATTATCTTTTTCTTCAGCTACAGGTACAGCCATAACCCGACCAATTGAAGGCCCGGGATTGCTGCAGTCAGTGTAATCATTATGTTAGAGCTCAGAATAGCTAGGAAGATTGCCATTTATCAAATGGATCTTGTTGACTTTTCAACTATTTTTTTTCAATATCATAATTTTCCATATGACGGTTAAGGCAACACAGCTGTCTTCGACTTTTGATTCCGACTACAGAGTTTGGGATTGAATGATGTGAAATATTCTACTTGCTGATTTATCCATTAGCAAAGAAATATTAAATATGACTTGAAATTATTTGATTTCACTTTAATTTATAACTTTTAAAAGTGAATCATGAACTTTACTACCCATCACATCGTAAGTTCAACCGAAATTAACGTTGAGTTACATTTGATTTGTCTAAATTATAATAATTCCTTTCAAGGTTCAAGTGATTTCAGCACGCTACCAAAGGATTCGAAGCATTCACGAGTATCTGTATTACTTCCTACTCGTTTTTCTATTCCATGTCCCCTTCAATTGGAGCAGCCAGGATTTTACCTTGTTCGAAGGTTTCAACCCAATAAGTCTTGAATTGGTTCATTTGACGATGTATGACTCCTCTGTCAAAATTTTCTAAATCCTAACTATGTTTAGCTTTTAACTTGTTCATTCTTTGGCTGTGAGCCACGATCACATTGAATAATACACCGCAAAATAGTCTGTATTTATCTGACGTGCTTGACATGTGAAGTCGTAATTGAGGTGACTTGAATACGTTTTGCGAAAAACTATATAGCTGATTCCATCAATTACATCAATTAAATGTTTTATAAAAAGTTTAACAAACTAGTATTCTTGCCCGTGATGATATGATTTAAATTAGAAGTATTATAATTATAGACTAAGAATTGAATTGACATTAAGGATCAAAACAATTAACCAAAAAATGTGAATCAAAATTATGAAATATATTTAATAAACAATATCAAATCAATGAAAAAAAAACTTAACATGTGGATATTTGTCCTATGAATTCAGGAGACAACACCTGGATGTTAGTTGGCATCAATGAAGTGGAGTCGTGATGGCCATGTCGACAGAGATGCTCCATGAAGCAAGTGAACACATCCTTGTGAATATTGCAATGGTTTCAATAATTAGTCATTTTCTTAGTGGAGATCATGAAAAAGTGGACCATCTTTGCTGTCGTTCCTTGCTATGTACTTGAAACTACAAACAAAACCAGAACGTGATTCCAATTTCCCAATCGCAGGATTTATGAGACAAATGGAGGCGTACAGTATTCCTGTCAGTTCGTAGCCTGTGACTTTCAGACATCTCAGACGGTTTAAATCCTTCTGCATTAGGAAAAATATAAAAATGAAAAATAAAACTTTGTTTTTAAGACATGATTGCCTGATTATAATCAATCTAAATTCATCAAGGCCTTTGCCAGCGATGGCAGCATGTGAAGGCGGCGCGGCAAGTCAAGTTTCCAGCAAACCCATGTGAGGTCATGTCTTATGCTGAATCCATGGCAGACATAAATAAGGCTTTCAGTCTCCAATCCATTTAGTTCCTCAAACTGTGTTATTTTCTAAAAATGGGTAAAATTCTTGGGTATTGTTTGGGTTTCTTGTGCCTTTTGATTCCTCTTGCTGCTGCAGATTGGAATATATTGAACCAGAGGACCCGTAATGGGTTGAAGATCAGCTTGAAGAATTATTGTGTGAGTTGGCGAATGAATGTTGAACTGCACAACACTAGAGACTTTGAAGTTGTGCCTGAAGAATGCACATACTACATTGGGAAATATGTCAGATCCACTCAGTACAGAGTCGATTCAGAAATTGCCACTGAGGAATGCTTGGTTTATCTTAGCACCAGCTGCAATCTGAAGAAAGACTCCAGGGACGCTTGGATTTTTGACATAGATGATACTCTGCTTTCAACAGTTCCTTACTACAAAGAAAATTTATACGGGTAACTTTGATTCAATCTCATCTACTAGTTTTTCTTGGCCACATTACATTAAGTGCTCTTTGTTTGTCATTTTCACTCTAATATCCTTGGTTTCAAACAGAAAGGCATAGACAATAGCATAAACTATGGTATTACACCCCATTTTACTTATAAAATGCCAATGTGATGGCATTCTCATAACAGACGGTTCCTTGAGTTCTTAGTCAAGCACTGTGAATGATGGGCTTTCTTGATTAAAAACAGAGGAAATAAATTGAACTTGACATCCCTAGAGGAATGGATGAGCAAAGCCAAGGCTCCCGCTCTTGATCACTCCTTGAAGCTTTTCAATGAACTGAAGTCCAGAGGAGTTCAGATCATTTTGGTTTCTGCAAGGAGAGAGCATCTCAGAGCAGCCACCATTGACAACCTTGTCCGGGTTGGTTATCATGGCTGGGCTGGTCTTGTATTGAGGTCAGTACATCCCTGTCCTTCCTTTAGTATATCTCATTGCTACTGTATATGTTCTTACCCTCTTTGATTTCATTTTCTGGCTGGTGTTTGAATTTTTGCAGAGATTATGCTGATGAATTGGTATCAGTACAGAAATACAAGTCTGATGCGAGGAAAAAACTAATCAGTGAGGGCTATCGCATTTGGGGCATTGTTGGGGACCAATACAGCAGCATTGAAGGGCTTCCAAGCGCTGGAAGGACATTTAAACTACCAAATCCAATGTACTATGTTGCCTAATATGCTACGTAACGTAATAGTATTCTTTTCTACCCTTTTCTGAATCTCATAAAAGCAGCATTTGATGTGAGAAATAAGTTCCCATTTAAAGGAAACAGAAGCCAGCCAGCTGGGTTTTCTTTATGCCTCTTCATTGTAGAATTTGTTGTCTCAAATTTGCAGAAACTGAATAAAGTAGGTAAGTTTAACATTGTAGTGGCATTTCACTGATATGAAAAAAACTACATTACATGAACCAGTTACAAATTACAACGAGTGGTAATACAGGACTGTGAAGTGATGGTATTGAACTATCAGAGCTCATGGATGAGTAGATCTCAAAGCTAATGTTCCAAGATTTTCACATCAGATGACATGAGTTCACCTTTCATTTACAGCATCAATCGCTAATCAGACCAATCAAACCAAACAGCAGAGTCTACCATATACTCCTAATTGCTTCGACCCAAGTTACCTGCCCGCATTTTGGCACAATATTCAAATAAACTCCCATCATAGCAGCGCCTTACTGCTTCTTTAGAAAGTAAACCTTCACTGTCTCTAGCAAGAAGGTACAGATACCCCCATTCCATTTTAGATACAACCCTAAAAACACATTCCATTAGTATGTTTCAGACTTGAGAACTTTCAAGGGCCAAGAAGCTTTCATGTGAGGAATGCTGTCATTTTAGTTCCATATTGCCATTTATATAAAGTAAATCAACTATTAACAGAATACCATATGACAAAGCAATTGAAAAAAAGGTATACATATTTACCAGCCAAAGGGATCAAATGCATTTCGATTTCCCTCGGTCATTTCCCAGAGCTCTCCAAGTGTGAGCTTGTCAGGCACTGTGCGAGCATACTTACTAAACATGTGCTCTAGATTTGCTGGTACGTAGCTGCAGTTTCATTAAGCCATATTGTCAAACGCTCGGTAATCAAATTGCATGCTTGACATATTGCGCCAAATAGCTGCTCATAATTGCCTACCGTCCTTCCGTATCATAAACTCCGGCGTCACTCCCATGCTTTATTCTGTGAATGTTGTGTATATATATCGGAAACAAAAGAGAAGGTATCCAACTCTGCAAAATTGCATTTTTCTTAGTGTTTATATATTCCATAGGCTTATAGCTATTTGTGCGCTTCGAAGTTCAAACTTAAATTGTATAGTAAATGCATATATTACTCTTAAACATGATTACAATTGAAGGAACAATGGAACAATGTAGGCATGAGGAACTAAATCACCAAGGGAACTTTCAGAAGTAGATCAAATTTTAGATCACATTTCTCTGTTTTTTTTTTTTTTCCCCTTCTTGTTTTCTAAGATGAGTTGGATGAGCGACTTACAGGCTGAGTAGGATAGCTCATAGACAAATTGACGCAAACTGCCATAAGGAAAGAGGCAAAGATGTTAAATCCAACTGCTCGCAGGCCTGAACATGTCAAAAACAGATTTTTGAGAATCTATTTTTAACAAGTTGAGCATGACCTTTTTTTTTGGGGGGGGGGGAGGACGACCCTGCGCTACCCTTGTAAGTTTAGGACAGTTGAAAGATCATAATGGCTATCAGCAAACAACAACAGCTCTTAAATCTTACCCATGTAAGTTTCCCAAGGGTAAACAATTCCATTGTCATCTCGATCAAAAAAGGCACAGTGCTGCTGAAGAACAGTCAAGTTGTGGTGCCTATGTTGTGGAGTACCATGTGGGTGTCTTGTGTCGGGAGCTGTCAATGCTCTGGGCATGTCTGCCAACAGATGGACCCATGAAAAACGAAGTGTTAGTGAAGGCACTCTGTTTCTTTCTCCATAACATTAAAAAACACAAAAAGGTCTACGAGAAAGATGAGCAATGAAATGAAACTACTTACATGGCTTGGGAAGAAAAGTTTCCAAGTCATCTCTGACCCTTCTCTGTGCAGTAACGGGTGCATTGTAAGCCTCAGTTATGAGTGATTCCCTCTCTATCTCTCCTTCCATTATGTTTGAAACTCTTCTTCCTCAAGCTTTCTTTGGCTACAATACTCAGGGTTAGTATATATGCGATACTTATTGAAGAACATGAACGTTCATTTTAGTTGCAGATAATGGGGTTGAGAAGCAGAGAAGAGAAGGTTCATCTAGATGTACACAAAAGGCAAGAGACAGCAAAGCTCCACAGATTTACGTGGCTTGCATGCGTAATTTTATGATGCATATTTGTTGAATCTTGTACAGTGTTCATGCATGTACATGCTGTCTTTGCTGCTTATGCTCTGAATTCTGCATTCCCATCCTTTTCACATACCTAGCATGAAACTGACGTTTTTGGAGGACAGCTTGGTGTCACTGGTTCATGTTTAAGCATTATTATTAGGCCTACAAAAGGAATAACTTTCCCAGATTAATACTTCTTTCTATGAAAGAAATTGTTAGATTGATTAATTCTATATTTTAAATTATTAAGTTAGCAAATTATCCTTTCACTTCTTGGAGTAAGAGTTTGTGCATTTTACGAAATCATTAGCAACTGTTGAAAAGTAAAACTGGGAATATATTGGACAAGAGTCAAGAAACACATAATTTCAGAAAATAATAAACAGTGATATTTTTATACATATAAAGATCAATTGTATTTCTTCACTAAATCTAATTTTTATTTTTTTTGACCAGCACTTCACTGAATCTAATTTTACTTTTAGAACCATCGAAATTCAATTAAAAAAGGCCTCTCGATTAGAATAACTTTTTTCATTATAATAGTTATTAAAAGTATCCCTTTAACTCAAAATAATACTAAGGCAACTAAAATTACAGGTGATATAGCAGCCTTAAGCATAGTATCTCTCTACACTTGTAATGAGCTAAGGATCAAAACTCAAGTCATGACAACCAATATTTTTTTTTTTTGTTGCTAAAGTATAGACATCTTCCTATTGAAAGCAATCATATTCGAGGCATTATCTGGCACTAAATATAGACATCTCTTTCAGCTGGAATTCAAATCTAGGTTCATTACGTTGTGAAGGACTAGTTTTTTTTACTAGACTCAATCCTAGTACCAATATTACAATTAGTGCTGGGACATGAATCTTTCTTGATGATATTCCTTAACATCTTTGGGCTATATAGTCATATGCCCAATATGAGGGTTTAGTCTTAGACCCATAAAGAGCCCAAAAGCGGGGGAAGAACAATAATATCTGGTCATTAAACCTCAGATTTGTCAGCCTTTGTTCTCCGCGGAAGGGATGGCGAGCGAAGCAGTAGTTGAAAGTGCTGAAGCTGTGGCCGCGTCGACGGAGGCGGTGGCGCCGGAGACAGGTTCCAAGCATACACTGGATAGAAAGTGGACTTTTTGGTTCGATAATCAAACAAAGTCTAAGCAAGGTGCTGCTTGGGGAACCTCGCTTCGCAAGGTTTACACCTTTGACACCGTCGAGGAGTTCTGGTGGTACGTTTTCCTATCGCGTGATTTTTTTTTTTCATTTCTTTTTGATATTTTTTGCGGGAGATTTAGCTGGTCGTTATGGATTCGGAGAATTTCAAGGGCCGCTAGACGAAAGTTTGATGAGATCATAGATCTCCTGAGGTTGTTTTGTTGGGAGAGGCTCTGTTGATCCACCGTCTCGAAGTTTCTGTATGTTTTGTTTAGAAAAGTTTTTCATATACAAAGCATGGGATCAAATGATGCTATGGGGTTTTAAGAGATTTCTGTTGTTACTCTTTTGCATCAGATTTGCTAATAACAAGACATTTGTAACGTAATATCCTCCTGTAGTTTGTATGACCAGATATTTAAGCCCAGCAAACTGCCTGGCAATGCGGATTTCCACCTGTTCAAAACTGGAATTGAACCGAAATGGGAAGATCCTGAGTGCGCTAGTGGAGGAAAGTGGACTGCGGCCTGCAGCAGAAAGGCTATCTTGGATACCATGTGGCTTGAAACTGTAATGATATTGCTGGCCATTCTGTTCTTTTGGCAAAATACATGAGAATCTTATATACAGTTTTTTTTAATTATTTGATTCTTGTTCTATAGTTAATGGCTTTGATTGGGGAGCAATTTGATGAGGGTGAGGACATATGTGGTGTGGTTGCCAGTGTGCGCCAGAGGCAGGACAAAATTTCATTATGGACAAAGACAGCAGCAAACGAGGCTGCGCAGGTCTGGTTTCTTTCTAACTAATACTTGCAACGTCACTTAAAGTAATTTGTTTATAGTATAGCATCCTTTTATGTTGTAAAATCCATCGATAGTTGAGTTTATGTTGAACTTCTCAGAATGGACGATACCTATAGTCATCTCATAGGAAAAGTAAATGATTTTGCCGCTTTCCCAAGCACTGCCCCGTGTTAGAAATTACATAATTGTTTTATATAAGTTCAACATCGCCCCTGGGGGTTGGGGAGCACACTCTTCTGCCATTTTTATTCATCTTTGCATGTTGGTGGGGAAGTTGTTTTTATTTTATTTTATTTTATTTTTCTGGGTGGGGGTGGGGGAGAGGGGAGCATCTCCTCAGATCCGTCTACGACTATATGCTGGCATGTAAAAGCCATCCTGTCTTCTTCATGTAGTTGACTTGTTATTACTAATGATTTGGGCTTAACCATGATGTCCTCATGGTCTAATGTAATTGCATAAATTGAGAGAGAGTCAAAACCTTTGAATATGGAGCTGGTACTATTTCAAAATCATTTGGGATCTCCATTAAAGAAAATGGAAGATTTGTGATTTTGGAAACTGGAAAGGAGCTCACTATATGCCAACGATGATTTTGCTATAACTGGAATTTGATTTGGTTAATGATGCATTAGTTTTATAGGCAGCAATCTTTTAACTCCGGGAAAGACATGCAACTGAATGGGAAAGATTGAGAGTCTTGGGTAGACTCGGTCTATCTTGATTAGATTTGTGAATTTCTCATGTCTTAGGCTCTTAGCATCCTTCTTTCAATCTTTCACCAGGAGACAAGTTTAAGGGTATGGATATAGCGTGCTTGTTTAAATTGAATATGAGATAAATGGACGTGAATTATGTATGTATTAGGACTCGAAGTATGTCTAGTTTAGGAGTGGGTCCCTGATTTTTGTTCCATCCCTTTCTCCTGCCTAGCAAATTTTACTTGTTCTTGAAAGAATCTAAATTCAAGAGTGAATTATTTGTTACAGCTCTTACTCTTCCCTATACTGTCAGGTTGTCTTCTCAAGGGTGTATGTGTCCGATGTCGTATTCCAAATTTTATCAATAACTCTACAGTGCATTTATGATTGAACGGCCTGTTTATATTTGTTTATGTGTCTTTTAATATCAATTGATAACGTAGTGTCCCTGCGGATTCAACGAGTTCCAGAATTGTATTGATTCTGTTCTGACTAGTTACATCTCTTCTTTGCCAAAGTCAGTGATATGTTTTGTTCATCCGATTGTGAAGTTAGTTTACCAAAACTCATCACGTCACTTTTGATGTGAGATTTTTACGGTTTTGAAATGTGTGCAGATGAGCATTGGGAGGAAATGGAAGGAGATCATTGACGTCAATGATAAGATCCATTACAGCGCTCATGTATATTTCTGCTCTACTCTTTTTTTTTTTTTCCAGATTGACTATCAAATAATATTATCCGTAATTTAATTTTCTCTACATGGTGTAGGATGATTCGAAGAGGGATAGATCAGCAAAGAGTCGATACAGTGTGTGATCTCTTAGTGGATCGTTCCTTGCTTTTATGCCAGTCTTTTAACCTATTTGTGCCATGTGTATTAGAGCATAGATTTTTGGTTCAAACATTAGTTTCCTTTGTTTTTTTTCCCTTGCTCTCTTCTGGATGTATTACCAAAAGAATATTGATTTTTGTAGCACTATAGAATGTTTTGCATCAACATGGACCGCGATTTGTACTGATTCTGTGCAGTTTTTCTTGTTCATCCCCCCCCCCCCCCCCCAAAGTTTGAAGAATCACTCAAGCTCCTTCTGAACTGATGCAAATGAGTACATCGGTGAAGGGAAACAGAACGGGAGTTCATTTTGAGGCCAAATTCTAGATGCATGGTGTGTTTGGTTTCATATTGAACTATGGTTTTTGGTTATTTTAGCGTTAGCAATCAAGTCAACCTGATGAGTCAGAAAAACCGTTATATATGTACTAGTTCTGATTTTTAATATAAAAATTAGTTGATTAATTTGAATAAATTAAAAAAATTAATTAAATTAATTATTTGTGATAAATAAGTGTTGTTTTCTTAAAGTATTTTTATTAATGAAGTATATTTGTTAAAAGTATCATTATTATAAGAATTATCTTGAAAAAAAATTAATAAATATAAGAAACAAAATGGATTGAGGTTTTACATTTAGGATTAAAATAAATATTAAACAAACTCTTATATTAAGGAGTGGAGTTATTTCTTTTATTGCTTGTAATTTTATGTCAATTCAATGAGACGATGAATAAATATCAGAGGGATAAAGGTCAAATAAAGTGTATGCCATTTATTGGATGGCAATAGATGAAGGGCCTTATTAATTTGATCTTTTGTATATAAAGAACAGAATAAGACAAGTATAATTGAAGAATGAAGGTTGCATGAGTGGAGATGAGTTCCTAGTTTACATTCTCATGTGAAAAGGTGACATTTATGAAGTTCAAACTTCAACTCTTCACCCCATGAAGATGATGATTACAATTTGCTAAATCCTTTATGCAAGGAATCCAAGCCTTTCTCCATTCTTCTTGGCCAACCTAATCAGTCCTTGTCTCTGTTTTGCATCTGCTCCTATTGATTTGCAGAACTCCGTTATTACCTGACACACAATTCAAACCATATTAGCAAATTCTGCATCTCGTCTCCTCCCTACCACTCACAGTTTTTGCCACCTTCTCTGCCTAAAATTCAGCATGACCAGATTTTAAAAACACTAGCTGCTTCAAACAAAATTGTTGAAAAACCACATTGTTACGTGCTCAAAATCACACTATAGTGCAGCCATGAAAGGATTCTTTGAAGTTGGGGGGCTTTTTACACTTTCTAACGCAGTGGTACCTGAGTTTGCATGCAATTTTAATTAGTTCACTTGTCTTCGTCTAATCATGGACACAGAATTCCCCTCAGACTTCAGAACTAATTAGCTGAACATTTCCCTTCTAAAAGCTTTGTCTATCTCATGCTCAATTTTCCAAACAAAAGCAATAAAGGTTCAAATGAAACTTGAAAATTGTAGTTTCCAGTCAGTCCAAATCAAACGTACTCTCAATATGCATATGATATGAACACAAATCAATACAAAACATATTCCACCAGCTTCTTTTCTCCCAAATTTCAAAATATATCCTTAAAATTTAGAGACCGAGCAACTAAGCAGCAACATGTGAAAGAATTGAGGCATACCTGAGAGTGCAAAGCAATGGCTTTGCCTCGAAGCTGGTTGAATCGCTTCTTGCCAATGATATTGCGGGTGAGGACCACAACAGGGGCAAACAGACCCTTCCCTTCATTGACGTTCTTCATCATGGGCTGGCACCTCACTGCCTTCCCGCCCCCAAATCGAACTTGTGAAGGCACCGATTTCACCAACACGCTGTAATCCTCACCCGCCATTGAAGAAGCTCCCCAACTTCCATAGAAGGAAGACCCAATCGCAGGAATTGCAGAAGCCATTTCGGAAACCAAACCTCTCTCGGTGAAGATGCTAGTTGTTGTTGATTTTAGAGGTGGAGATAGATGGGCGCTTGGTGATGGGTTTTATTAGCTTTGTGTGAAAGATGGGGGTTTTGGGTGTAAATTTTTGTGCCAGTGGTTCATATCTTGGAGGGTAGTGTGGTGGAGAAGAAGGAAACGTTAGGAACCACACAATCTGGTGGCTTTGATTTTTAGCTATGGTTTTTGTTAGTCCAAGATTCTAGAGCAACTCATGAATGCATTGGATTCAACCCAATTTTGTGAGTGTGGTCCCTGTGGCTTACTCTCAGAATATCTTGATCTCGAGTTCTAATGGGTAGTCTGTCGCTCGTGGGCCCAACTTCATCACCACCACCACCGTTGGATGAATCCATCTGGCATAATTCCGACCCTCGCTTTGAAGGATGAAAATTACGGAGAGAAAAATAACCATCAAATTCAATGTCTTTGAATTTGGGGTTAAATATGTGGACTTCTTTCTAGTCCGAATACATTGGAGCGAACCCAAGCACAGGTGGTGATGGTTAAGGGACGGTGGGCAGTGTAGCAACCCTTTTTTTCTTATCCAGGCAAGCATGTATCACCATTCCGCGAGGCATTAGCAACCTTAAATTTGGTGTGCACGTGCTTCTTCCGACCACCAGCAGTCCAACATGTCGGCGTTGCAGTCTCATTTGTCAACCTCGGCTATGTTCTTTCTTTGGTCCTTTTGTCTTGTAGATCATAATTATATCCTACCCTGGTACTAGTTATAAGACTTGTACTAAAAACTATAAATAACGTCTTATAATTATGATTAAAAATAGTAGATGGGAGATTGCTAACATTCCGCACGCGTAATGCTTTCTATGCCACATTCTTGTGTTTTTTATTCTTGCACATTGTGGTATCTGTTTACGTGCACAAGCTCAATAAACCAGTTCAGCGTTTAGACGTAATAGCACTTCGGAAAACACAGACTTGTATTATTAAAAATATGGCTTCACGAACTTTATTATTATTAATATCTTTATTAATTTGTAAAGTTCCAAGTGTTAGGTGTAACTAAGCATGCTTTTTTTAATGTATTGGAGTAAGTTTGAGGATATTTATTTGATATATAAATATAAGAGGAGAATTACGATGAGATTTTAATAAAAAAATAATTATTAAAAAATCTCAATAACAATCCAAACAAGTTTTAAAATAAAAAAATAATAATTTCTGAAACTTATTTTGTTTTTTTTGTAATTCTCAAACTTCATTCTGACGCCGACGTGTCAGTCAGCCACGGTATTCTGTGTGGTCGACGCCGAGTTTTCCTTTTCCTCTGATTCCAGACGGCCACAAGCAAATGTCAACGTGAAGCAGAACGGAACAGAGACGAAGGCTGGCAAGCCTAACTGATGGCATCGGTGGCGACCCATTTCTCAGGTTTCCTCTTCTTATTCCCCGTTGGTATACGCCGCTTGCTATTTTCTTCCTCCGTTTACCTGAAAAGCCCGTCCAATTTCCGATCCAAACTATGGTATTTCTCTCACCCCGCATGGAAGAACATTGATCTCTATTTCCTTCTTGTAGCCCTCCCTATCGCTTCCTTCTCTGAGTTTGTCATCTTCTTATCTTTTTCCGGTCACCCCACCTACCGATTTGCGTTTTCCCTGCAATCCATTGCACTTTTGATATTCTGGGTCCTGATCCTTCTCATTTTAGCTCAGGAGTATTTGGGCTCATCTCTGGTGAATGAGAGTTTTGTTTTCATTTTCGGATCCATTTGCTTTCTCGTGGAGTATTCAGTGTTCGGTAAAGGAATTGGGGGTCTTGGTGGAGTCGTCTACGGATTCTTGGGTGCATTAACTCTCGTTTGCGTAGGTGCTTGCCTGTACTTGTCAGTTAAGCCAACTGCCTTTTTGCCGATTTTTTGCTCTCTTCGGGATTGATTTTTAAGGGTACATGGCTGCTGCAAGCTGGATTTTCTTTGTACACTGATGCTTTTATGTTGAAGGGGTGTAAAAAGATTTCACTTTCTTCACCATCTCTCGAGAATGTCGATGTTCATTGTGATCTTGATGAGGATAGTCTGAGGGGTATCACATTGATGCATTTCATCTTCACTGTGCATGCCACTGTGGTGCTGGTTTTGAGTCTTGGACTATTTGGGTTGCTAGCAAGTAACCGAAAATTGAGATGTGTGGAGGCAAGGGGACCGTTGCTAACTGAGCTTGAATCGCCACAAATGCTTATGCATGCTCTTCCTGGCCAGGAGATGGAATAAAATTTGTCATTTTTTTTATAAGGAAAAAACTGTGCAGTTTGACTCTATTTACTTTCCTGACTAGTAGGCAATTGGTTACAAGTCTGTTGTTGGCAAATAGCAGGTTTTCAAAGCAATACAGTTTGATAGATATTTAACATTCTTGAATGTTATAAAATTTGTAGTATATTTAGCGGGTTTATCTTTACCTGTATCTTGCACACTGAGTAGTTTATGGCTATGGTTCACAGTTGAGGAAGTTCCATTCAAGAAATCCAAGACAAGAATTCGATACGTCCCTGAACATAAGATGACCTTATAATGCCTTCTGCTTTTGTTGATCGAGATTGTTTCTACCTATTTCTCTGTTCTGAAATAAATGCCTTGCTGGTTTGGTGCGAAGCACATGCATCAATAGCTCTCTTGTACTTCACAGACAAACCAGAACTATAAGTTAGGATGAGTTTTTACATGATCATCGTTGACATGCAATTGTGATGTTTCTCAAAAAAATTTGAGCTCGTTGGCAGAGGAAGCTATGTTCTATAATTGTTACAAGGATGCAAGTAATGGTTGTATCTCAGTTTTATGCCTTTATCCATTGAGCGTACTATGCATTTAAGTTATGTGTTTATGTTATCTGCCTAAGAACCTCTGCTGAATTTTTTATTAAAAAGAGCTTGGTAAAATCGAAATTGGAAAGAAACAATCATTAATGCATATGCACATTTTCTTGTATCGGTGCTATCAAGCTAAGAGGCACTCCCTTGCCTCAATAGAAGCAGAACTAATAGGTGTAGTTTTTGTCTTTTGATATCAAATGACAGCACTAACAATATTTTATTGTTAGTCATAGGAGCTGGTAACACATGAATTTAGACTGGCCATAACATTTTCTCTTGCTGGCATGGTGTTATGGCTCATATGTTTAAATTGAACGGCATCATTCTTTATGTGGATATTCTGGTATTGCAGCTTGATTGAAAAAGGCATGCTTAGCGATCTTAAGATGGCAATGGCTGTAACGTACCAAAAGGTGCAAGCTTCGTCTGCACTGGGAAAGTATATTAAAGTTTCTACAAGGTGAACATATTAATGTTACTGCTTTTCTCCCTTGCAAATACACGAGGCATGGAGAAAGCTTTTGCCTTCTGTAGCTGTAGGTTGTTGCATGTTTTGAAATATCTGGAGAATTTAAGCGGGATATTATCAGGGGCTTTGCTTGTTGTCTTTCTCCATAGTGAAGTTATGTTGAGCAATTTATGCAGATTCATTGACAGTGGACGAAATTGAAGAGGCTACTTGTTCCGCTTCGATGCTCTCATCAAGCCAGAGGAATTTATGCTCATTTGTTTGTATGAAATTCATTTATCTTTGGGTGTCTTAGCCCTCACTGTCCAGTGGAACAGATCCTGTTTGAAACTTCATTATGACAACATTAACATAGGATGTGCCTATCAATGGTACTGTTCATGCGCCGATTGAACAGTTTATGAGGCAGGTAATGCAGTTTCTAGTTAAATGGTGGAAGTTGGTGTGGATTAATTGCCAAGCCATTTGAATTAGGTTGAGTATATGATTCTCATTAATAGTTATCCTATTAATTTTGTCTCCTTTAGCTCTCTGCTTGTTCACTTTATATTAGGACGCGGAGAAAGAAAAGGAGAAAAAGGATGAGGGGAGAATCTGAAACCCATTTTGCAGCCAACGCTACTGATTATTAGCCTCCCCTTTGGTGTGTCATAAATTATTACGGGGAACTATTATTAGATGCCAAGAAAAAGATTTAATCACACAAAAATCTGTGAACAACCATAGAGTTTGTAATAATAGGTTTTAGTGTAGGAAATAACATTCACTTGTCGTTAAAACTTTTTAGTAATTAAATTTTTAAAAATTTATAGTAATTTTCCCGATGATTATTACGTACTTTAATTGTTGAGTCACAGAATCTGATAATGAAGTTGAGCCTCAAAGCCAGTTATTTTTTTGGGGAATGACTGGGAAGTATAATTAATCAGAGAGAAAAAAATCATTAATCATTAATCTGATTCTTTTACCGTATAAAAAATTTAGGAAAAAATTCATTATGAAATCCTAAAGGAAGAAGGGTCACCATATAAATTTGTCTTGAAGGTTTTTACTTAAAATTGCTAGGAATCTGAAGTTTTTTTTTTATGTAAATAAGTTTAAAATTGTGACAATATTACCCTCACAGTTAAAAGACTAATGTTAATTGTTAACATTTTTAATAATAGTCATAATTTTAAATTTTTAAGACAAACTTGCACCCAAAAAAACTTTTGAATACCCAATGTTTATGAGTGAAAATTTCCATGACAAATTTACACCTTAAATAAAAAAATCATTAAATTTTAATAACAATTAAGCAAGATGAACTTATTATTTACATGTTGGAGGATATTTTTTTTAGTTACACTTCTTTCACAATAGCATATGATGATTTTCCCAAAAATTTACTAACTTTAATGACTATAGAGAAGGAATAATTACGGAATGCATTGATGAGGGAGAATGCAGAGTGCACTGAATCTGTCTGCAATGGGGCGTTGGCGTCCACATTCAGTGGATTGGGTTTGGGCTCAGTGGATTCTCTCCTCTCAAGTAAAGACAAAGTCTTTTGTTTTTGTGGAAAAAAATAATATTCATTCGCTTTTTTTTCCCCCTATCTTTTTCCCTTTAATTTAAACATTCACATCCATTGCACGCGCGCACACACACAAACATCAATTTTTGTCCGTCTGCGTCAATTATCAATAATTATTATAGTAGATCATAAAAATAAAAAAAATATAATTATATTAAATAATTAAAAATAATTAATCAATCATTAAATTACATTCTTTTTTTTTTTTTTGAAAAAATGCCGTTCTCACGGGGTATTAGTGTTGCCAATGATTCCAGTGTTTAAAAAATACATTGTTGACACATCTGAAACTATTTTAAATTTAAAATATCTTTTAAGAAAAAAAAATGAGATCCTCAATATAATCAATAGTCTTGTAAATTCCTGGTTGCAATTAATTAATATTAGCTAACAGAATTAAAAAAATGGCTGAAGGAAAATCTAATTTTATATAAGTTACTTGAGTGTTAGATGACTAAGGGTCCGTTTGAAACAATTTATAAGTAATTTATAAGTTATTTTTTAATAATAATTTACGAAATACGAGATAAATACGTTAAAAAAGTTTTATTTCGATTTACGTAAAACATATTTATAGAGAATTTTTACCCCTAACGGGTCCTAAAATTTTGACTTGAAGCACAAATTAAATCGTACTCCTCCGGTCCTAATTATAAGACCCAATTGACTTATTTAAGGAGATTAAGGAAGTAAATTAAGGTGGTTATTTATAATAAATAAGTGTTGTTATTCCTAAAATATCCTTGCTAATTAAGTATATTGGTTAAAACTATCATTATTAGAAGGATTATCTTGGAAAAAAATGCATAAATATAAGAGAGAAAATGGATTGGGTCTTATAATTAGGACCAAATAAAAAGTCAAATTGGGGTATTATAAAAGGACCGGAGGAGTAATTAGTTAATGTACGAATAATATAATTGATAGGCGAGCGACCTAAATGGGAGGGCAACAATCACATCAATACCCGCCGTTGTCCGAAGGGAGATTGGTTCAGGCCAAAAAAAGAAGTGAGATTGGCGGCCAAGTGCAATATTTTAATTATGTTATTATATCTTAATTATGGAGATATTTCTTATTTTAAAAGCATATGTTTCTGTTTAGACTATCGACATTATTTTATTTCTTTCTTTCCAAAAAAAAATCTTACTTATTAATCTAACCTCATCGTATGAAATCTCTAATTTATCTTTTAAATACTATTTCAATATTTATTATAAAAGTCACATATTAAATTAATGTACTCAAAATTATATCATTTTTATAATCTTATAGCATAATTGAATATGTATATATATATATATATATATTTGCAAGATGTATGACTTTATAATAGGATCAAAATTTAATAATATAACAGAAAATTTGAAAACATATATTAAAATTATTTCTGGCAGAGATAAACAATTAAATGATTGTTAAAATAATAATTAGCATAAAAAGAGACATTTTGATCAAAATAAAATGTTAAAACTATGATTTAGAGATCAATTGATAGTTGAGTAGATAGAAATTAAATCTTTAAGCTAATAAAAATGTTTACGTATCATATATTTTTTATGTAAATTCAGAGTCTCCTTAAATTATTTTAGTCCTGAGATTAATCTCTATAAAGTTGAGAGCGTTAAGTTTAAAATCTCCCTAACAAATGTACTTTTCGGGATTCAAATTTTTGTATTCATCCTTACGAAATTGATATTGCTTATCATGTCAATCAACAACTCATTAGTTATCTAACATACACTTTGATTTCGAGAAATAATTTTTTTTAAGAATTCTAGTTTTTTTTTTTTTTTAACTTACACTTAGTAAAGGCCTGGTAGTGAAAATGTTGCTCATCACCCAACAAGTTGAAGATTCTGGCGACCGAGTTGGAGATGTTTGGAGCCTCATTTACTAATCATTAAGTTTTTTTTTCAAATTTATTTCTCAATTTAAAAAATTCTAGAAAAGCTGTAAAAAGTAATTTATGAAGCGGAAAATGTTAAAAAAAATAAATATACAAAAACCCTCAACTTAAAGTGGCTCCAATAATTTATTGATATATTTTAAAAAAATTATAAATAAAAGGCCAAATCTTTTTTTTTGTACACGTAAAAGACCAAATCTTTAATCAACATTTCAAAGTTTTGGGATCTAGATCCAATATCATTTTCTCTTCCTCCATGATTGCCTACAGTGCAACAAGTGGAGGATGTTGGAAGCCTCAATTGGAATTATCTTTACTCAAGTAATTTTTTCACATTTATTTTTCGATCTTTACAAACTTTTAGGAAATTAAGTTAGAAAAATAATGGATAAAGTTGAAAATGTTGAAAAACAGATAAATACCGAACAAATTGCTTATCCAAAA